CAGTTTCTGTCTGTATGGAGAATAACTGCTGACAGGGTCTGAAAAGAACTAACTACTAACTATATTAAATTATGTTTTATAAAATTTACTATAATCAAATTAACAGTGAGCTGTATTGGATATTGCTTGTTTTCTGTCCAAATTATACCAAAGCATTTGTTTTTACCAGTAACTTTTCCCCCAAAGAGACTGACAAATAATTCTCAGAAATATTTGAAATATTTTCAGTGTAGTGGATATAGAGTTTAGAAATATATTTATTTTAATTAATTTAGCTCACAGGGCTAAGTGTTTGTAAGCCTCATTACATGTCAATATTTGGTATATTTTTGTGTAGTATTGAACTACAGTTTATTAGATAATGGAATCTTATGAACTTTATTTTTTTTAAATTTTCTTTCTAGAACTAAATCAATAAGATTCTTGTTCTGAATAATATATTTTGTAAACTATTGGTAAGCTGACTTTACTTTTAAAAAATTAAGTGAAAATAAATAATAAATGCAAAGCTTGCTGCTATCTTCTGCCATCACCATGTTGTGGAATACAAATTTCATATTCACATTAAAAAGACATATTGCTGATGTTGATCATTAACTAAGAAAATGAGCCATAGGGGAGACATTATGCGAAAAACAGTTAAATGAGACGTATTCCCAAGATACTTTCCTCTTGAAAACAGCCTATAACTAAATTTTTTAAAAATCCATACTGTCATATTATAAACCATTATACTGAAAGAGTTAGAGCCAATCCCTGATTTGAGAAGTAACCACATGCCTACATTGTGTGACCTCATATATCTGTAAGCTACATCCTCTTTTTACATTAATTTTAATTATAATAGTGAATATTCTGGCAGATGGAAAGAAGTTATCAATAGCTATATGATATAGGAGCAGCCTTTGGAACTGAGATAATTTATGATCAATAATCTCAGTGTACTTCTCCTTAATTTAAGGTACACAGATACTGAATAAATACAGTAAGCATTCTTTACTCCTTTCCTAGGAGGTGAAGAAAAGTATGGAGTTCTTAATCAAATAATCCTCAGCTGAAGGCTTGAGTGTACCTACCCCATCTGAACTGTGAGAACTTTCCTATAGTGATATATTCATCAGGAAAATAGTAGTAACAATGAGAGATGTTATAAGTGTTAAATTAGGTGGGCATTTAAGATGATTCTAATATTGCACTTAGCTCACTCTTTGTAATCAATATGTGGTAGCTATTATTATATTTTTAAAAGTAGGCTGTCTCTGAAAAAGTAGTCAATTTATTATGTAAAATCTTACCTTAGTTGTTCTATTAGTCTGTTTTCACACAGCTATGAAGAAGTATCTGAGACTGGGTAATTTATAAAGGAAAGAGATTTAACTGACTTACAGCTCCACATGGCTAGGCAGGCCTCAGGAAACCTAAAATCATGGCTGAGGGTGAAGGGGAAGCAAGCACCTTCTTCACAAGGCAGCAGGAGGGAGAAGAATGAAGAAGTAACTTCCAAACACTTATAAAACTATCAGATCTCATGAAAACTCACTCACTATCATGAGAACAGCATAGGAGAAATCACCCCCATGATACAGTCACCTCCCTCCCTCAACATGCGGGCATTACAATTCCAGATGCAATTTGAGTGGGGACACAGAGCCAAGCCATATCAGTTGTTAAAACTTAGATTCTTCTGCTCCAAGTCTAGAAGACAAATATAACACATTTTCTCTTCTTTTTTGTGCTTTTACTTTTTTCTTCTTTTCTAGCTAGTCTAGAATTTTATTTATATTGTTTCTGGTGAAAGTGTAGTAGGTAGCACCGTTTCAAAATATGAATAGCTTTAAGAATCAATAAATTCCCAAATTAGCCTAAGAAAGAGGGACTAACCTTCAAAAAGTAGCTTACAAAAGCTGATAAAAGTTGTTTATATATTCATAAGGCCTTTAGACTTTTTAAGTATTCCTGTCCTGAATTGATATTTAATTTTAACAGTATTTGCCTTGCATCTCTAACAATAACAAAAATGAAACCTTAGATTTTTTTTCTGTGTGTTTCCATTACAGGGTTTTTTGCCTTGGCAGCTCAATAGTAATGGTGTACTGAGTAGTAGATTTTTATTGTAGTTACTTTAGACTACTGGATACAGATCTGCTACAAGTACATAGTGATAATCTGTATTATAAGATTGTGAAAAAATTGACCATTCACAATGTTGAACTTTCTTTTAAAAAATGAAATGAAGAAAGATTGCAGATATGCAATGTATAGTACAATTGAATGATTTTTAGAAGATAGTTACTTCCTCCAGGCTCTGGCTATACAGGCACAATTATGTATCAAGTTCTCTTGAATTCCCTCTATTTCTAAAAACTATGGATTTGAAGTCAGGATGTTTTCAGAAGTATATCTGTTGTTAAAAATCCAAATAGATCAAGCATTGTTTCTGTTTATATCTGTGTGACAACTAATACCAATTTGTGTGATTACAGTGTGAAGAAACCGACATAATTTCTCCGAGGAAAGTTTATTTCCCTGGAATTAGCCATTACCAATAAGCAGCAGAAGCCCTAACCAGTGGCTCTTATTTTGCAATTATGCCTTTTCATCTTAATTTTAGTATATGTGCTGCCAAAGCAAGCACTACTTTTTCATAATCTAAGCAATAGCTAAGATTACATGTGATACAGATAAAGACTATCACCAGATAAACACCAACAAAAAGTTATTTTTATAGTGTCTTTCTGTGTGATCTTTTAGTACCCTTCTTACTTTTCTACTCCTCCTCTTCCACAAATATATGTTGAGTATCAATTCTATGATATTAAAGTGCATTAGGCACTTTAATAAGTAATCATTTATGTCTTATCAGAATTTGAGTTTCATTATATGGTGTCCATTGTGTAGATGAGGATACATGCTTCATGAAGTGCAAGGTCACATAACCAAATGTGGAAAAGGAAGTCTTTCTCTTGCTGAAAGGAACTGAGCATTGAATGCTGCTGCATGAAGCCCAAAGCTTCAGTGGAGAACCTCAGAAACCAGATAACTCAGAGCCGTAAGGCATGGTATTGGCCTCTCAGAAGTCAGAATAAATAAGGATGGGGGTTTCTCAGATTTTGAAGGCACTAATGACTCATTTCTCTAGGATACTGAAATGAGTTCTTCATTGTAAGACAACTGGGAAATGAGTGTCGTTGTCTACAGATATAAGATCTTAATAAAAGGCGTCGCAAAATTGACCTTGGTGGGGAGACACTGAAATAGGATCACATGGCCTGAGTGATGTCTTAACAATAGAGAAGATTATATACGAAGACACAAGAAAGACACAGGTAAGAAAAGGAATATTGACTGGAGTAGGGAATGCAGGAACATGTGTGAGTATGTGTGCACATGTGTGTGTGAGTGTTTATGTATCTAGATAAATTTAGATGAGTCTGGAGAGTTAAAAAGCCATGCTTGTATTTTACAAAAATACACTCAAGAAGAGACATGGGTTAGAAACCATTGCAGAAATATAATAAGATACAGTGGTGACATTAACCTAAGTTTATGATGATGACTTTGAAGAGAAATTCTAGGCCTTGCCTTAGAAAACAACACAAAAAAAGACTTGGTTCTTCAGGAACAAAATGCCCACAGAAAAACTTCACTATAAACAGAATTTGCTCATAGAGAGATGCGTATATCACTGCTTACTTGGATGAAATATATGCATATATTTCCATTTATAGATGGCTTCTTTCATCACTAAAAGAAAAGGTGCACTTCAAATATACACTACAAATATATTTACCTACAAATTTACTTATGCCAGACCGTTTTGCTTGCTAGTTTTGAAACGTAAAGCAGTTGATAGCTATTATTTTAAACTTAAGAGTGCATTTTAAATTACTATTAATGAAATGAATACCTCAGACCCTAAAGTACAATTAAAATATATTAAAAAAAAAGAAAATTATTTGAACTTGAACAGATATGTAAGGATATTTGATGTTGCTTGGTAGCTTTTCTCATGCAGATCTATTTTGCACATGAGATTTGCCAGGGAGTTGTAGCTGCCTCCTATTCTTCACTTGTTTATATGATTTGGTAATAGTCTGTTGTAATGAAGGTTTATGAAAATGGTGAATATTTACATACATTCTATTTAGATATGATAAAATCACATAACTCAAGTTTTACGTATGATTTTGATAAATAGTTTTCAAACTTGTTTTGGGGCTTTGATGGAATTCCAAAGGGGAAGATAATTTTACTACTAAAAAGTGTTAACATTATTTTTGCTATAGACTCCAATTATTTTTGGTTAACCAAATAATTGTTACAATTATTTCATTACAATTTTAATATAAGAAGTATTATACAATTCTCTTTTTATTCAGCACATTTTGCTTTACTTTTTTTTTTTTTTTTTTTTTTTTTTTTTGACACAGGGTCTTGCTCTGTTACTGAGATTGGAGTGCAGTGGCATGATCACAGCTCACAGCAATCTCTACCTCTTGGGCTGAAGAGATCCTCCCACGTCAGTCCCCGGGGTAGCTGGGACTACAGGTGCACATCACCACTCTTGGCTATTTTGTGCATTTTTTTGTGGAGACCAGGTTTCACCCTGTTGAACAGGCTGGTCTTCAATTCCTGGGCTCAAGCAATCCACCCTCCTAGTTCTCCCAAAGTGGGGTGGGATTACAGGCATAAGCCAATATGCCCAACCCCGTTTCTCTTTTTAAGAATAATTCTGCTTTTATTTCTGGTTGTATATATTTTTATAAATAATTGATATGATGATATAATATTCACAATGCTTCAAAAGTGTGACAAAGTATATGTGAATATTAATCACATAATTGATAAAATATATGAAATAATGAAGCCAAAGCAAGTCATTAAGAAGTATTTATTAACATTAGATACTGAATTTACAGATGTTACCAAAGTTGAACATTCACAGGGCCATTCATCAGAAATTCTGACTGATGTTTAAAATGAGAGGAAGAAATACCCAATTAAGTTCTAAGTAGAAAATGGTCTAATCCTGCAATGCCCCCTCGTCGCCGTGGATGTTTGTATTTGTAAAGTTTCATTGCGCGTTCCATAGGAGTCTTAACAGAGTCATAAGTCCATCCCATCCTGGCAAACAGCTTTTCAATGACACCAGGCATTTCGTAGCCCCTGCTTAGAATGAAATCCTTAAAGGCGATTGGTATATAAAGATCGTCAAGAATGTCGGGTTCATCAGGCTTTTTAAGTAAGAGCTTGGGGTCAATCAAAGGTTCATCACTTCTTAGCTTTCTCCACAACTTAGGCTTGAGATACCATGCTCCATACCTCATCTTCACAGGCTGCGCAGTATAAGAATTCGGTGCTGTCTGCTGCGATTCTCTCCTCCAGAATTTTTCCTTTGAGAGTAATTTGACCTCACCCATTTCTTCTAGCTCTATGTTGTACTGCAGCTCTGAGGTCCACTTGTTCATCTTCTTTATCTTTTGGTCGAACCACGTTGGTTTGCACTGGGGAGTAAAGTCAAAGAGATCCCTGATGGATTCTTCATCAGCTCCCAGATCTTCAATCCACTTGAAGAAGTCACGGAGTTTTTCCGATGTGTATCTAAATTGAGGAGAACCCTTCTTTGTGCTTGGTGTATCTTCCGGAAACAGTGCTTTTATAAAGGATGCTCGAATCTTGGGAGGCTCTGATAATTGTTGGCACACTGGAGCTTTGGGAGGCTCTGGTTGGAGATGAGACACTTCAGTCTCGGGAGGTTCTGGACGGAGACTGGACCCGCGACGAGTCTTGGGAGGCTCTGGGTGATGAGACACTTCAGTCTCGGGAGGCTCCTGGTGGAGACTGGACCCCCGACGAGTCTTGGGGGGTTCTGGGTGGAGAATGGACATCCGACGAGTCTTGGGAGGCTCCGGGCGGATACTGGACACCCGACGAGACTTGATATGCTCAGGGTGGAGACTGGACAGCCGACGAGTCCTGGGAGCCTCCCGGCGGTGATGAGACACCCGACGAGCTTTGCGAGTCTCTGGGCAGAGATGAGACACCGGAGTCTCGGGAGGCTGCTGGAGGGCTTCTCCAGAAGGGTATGTATCAGGCTCGGTGGGTTTCTCGTTTGCCTTCACCCGGGCCTCACAACGAACCCATGCGTCCTTCAGCTCCTTCTGGGAATCCAGCAGTTTCAGTATCTCTAGTAGGAGATTGGCCACCACACTAGTGTCAGGAGGTTCCGGGCTGGAACAGGACCTCTGAGTCTTGGGAGGCTCTGGGTGGACATGAGATACTTCAGTCTTGGGGGGTTCCGAGCGGAGACTGGACGATCGACGACTCTTGGGAGGCTCTGGGTGGACATGAGACACTCCAATCTCGGGAGGCTCTGGGTGGAGACTGGATGATCGACGACTCTTGGGAGGCTCTGGGTGGACATGAAACACTCCAATCTCGGGAGGCTCTGGGTGGACACTGGATGATCTACGACTCTTGGGAGGCTCGGGGTAGACATGAGACACTCCAGTCTCAGGAGGCTCCCGGTGGAGACTGGACATCCGACGAGTCTTAGGAGGCTCCAGGTGGAAATGACGCACTCCAGGCTCTGGAGGCTCTGGGCAGAGACTGGACAGCTGAGTCTTGGGAGGCTCTGGGCTGAGATGGGACACTCCAGTCTCAGGAGGCTCTGGGCAGAGACGAGATATGCTAGTTTTGGGAGGCTCCGGGCAGAAATGGGACACTGCAGTCTCGGGAGGCTCCGGGTAGAGGCTGGACCTCTGACGAGTCTTGGAAGGCTTCAGGATGAGACTGGACACTCCCGTCTCAGGAATCTCTGGAGGGAGATGAGACAATCTACTCTCAGGAGACTCTAGGCGGAGATCTGATACCGGAGTCTCGGGAGGCCATGGGTAGAATTCACCACAAGGGTATTTACCAGGCTCGGTGGATTCCTCGGTTGCCTTCTCCGAGCCCTCACAACAAGCCCATGCGCCCTCCAGGTTTCTCTCAGGATCCAGCACTTCCAGCACCTGTCGTAGTAGATCTGGAGGCATATCTGCTCCCACATTGGGGACCATGGCCAAGGAATGCTCAGCCATCAGCTGGCCTTCCACTTCCTCTACGAACGCCTTCCGTGCTAGCTGGGCTGGCGAGAGTTTGGAAAATAGGGCCGCTTTCTTGAGTAGCTTTTTCTGCCTGCTTTGGGGGTCAGCATGCGGACTTCTGCTAGAGATTTTGGGGAGTAAGAAGTCGTCCCGGCGGCAAATGAGCATATCCTCGGGAGACGGACAGCCGTAGCGGAAGTCGTCCATGCCCTCCTTCACAAATATCCAGTTTTCCGTGTCTATGGGTGGCAACTTCACGCGCCTGTGCTTGCGCTCCGCGAAGCACTTGGAAGGCCGCTTGTCACAGTACCTGGGAGTGGAGTCCATGCCCGGGGACCTCGGCCGGTCCTGCGGCCTCTGGTCCCCCATGGTGGTCGTCACTGGGCTGCCACCTCTCCTGCTTCAGCGGTTCCCGATCCGTGCGGCTCTGGTCGCTAGGAGACCCAGAGGAGACATTCGAAACCCAGGTTCTTCCGGGAGGCGGGGCGGTGCTGACGTCACATGCGCAGCCCGGATTCCAACAGGTGTGCGCTGGAATCTCACTCTGGGTTTCATTTGCATTTCCTAATGACTGCTGGTATTCAACATCTCTATATTTGCTTATTTGTCATCCTTATCTCTCCTTGATTGAAGTTTCTGTTCATTTTTTCCCCGTTTTTAAACCGGGGTGCTGGATATCATATTTAGTTTTGACAATTCTTGTTGTGTTCTACGTGTAAGTCCGTTATCACATATATGATTGGCAAGTTTTTCTCTTCATCCTTGGCTTTTCCCTTTCATTGTCTTAACAGTGTGTTTCAAAGAGAAGTTTTTAAAATTTGATTAAGTTTAATTTATCAATTTTATTTTTTACAGATTTTGTTACCTTTGATATATCTATGAAAACTTTGCGTGTCCTAAGGTGATAAAGTTGGTTTTCATTTAAATCCATTATAATTTTTGTAAACAGCACAAGATATAGATCAAAGGTTTTATTTAAAAACTTTATCTATTGCTTACATGTATCTGGTAATTTCGGAACTATTTTTGTAAAGACCATCTTTTCTCCATTTGGAAACTGGTAGAATATATGTTGTTTATATTTCTTGAGGGTCAATTTCTGGGCAATCATTTCTCTTGCATTGATTTTTCTCTCACACAAATTTCACACTATGTTGACTACTTTAGCTTTACAATAAATTTAGAAATTAGGCTGTATTAGTTCTTTAATACTGTTCTTTTTGGTTCTTCTAGGTCCTTTGAATTTCTATAGAAATTTTAAAATCAGTTTGTCAATGTCTAAAAAAGTCCTGTTGGGATTTTGATTAGGATTCTGTTGAATCTATAGATCAATTTGAGAATAATTGGCATATTAACAATACGATGTTTTCTGACCACTGAGGAAGGTGCATCTTTCCACTTTTTATGTGATTTTTCGTTTTCTCAGGGATATTTTGTATTTTTTAGTGTATGTGTCTTTCACATCTTTTTCACTCTAGTTTTTTTCTAAATATGGTTTTTGATAGTATCATATGCAGTTTTTTATTGCAATTTACAATTTTTCTTGTTAGTATATATAAATATTGATTTTTGTATATCCATCTTGTATACCATGTTATACTACCTTGGTAAACTCACTTATTAATTTCAGGATCATTTTTGTAGATTTCATTGAATTTTCTATGTATACAATAATGTCATCTGTGAATAAAGATAGTTTCCTTCTTCCTTTCCAATACGATCATCTTTATCATTCCTCAAACCCCACTGATTTAATGTATTGACTGAAAATGATGAGAGTGGGAATCTTTGTATTGTTTCTGATCTTAGGGTTGAAGCCATTCTGTATGGTGTGAGCTGTAGGGTTTTTGTACACACATTTTTCCCTTTTATTCGTATTCTCAGAGTTTGTGACAAATGCTTTGTGTCAAATGCTTGGATTATCTAATAATTTTTCTTCACCCATTCAGATGTTTATACCACATTTCTTTCTTCTATAATTATGCTGAAGTAGTGAATTATAACGATCAAATTTAAAGTGGCATATATACTTTCAATTCTGGGGATAAACTTCACTTGATTTTTAAACTTTTAAAATCCTCTCGGCCGGGCGCGGTGGCTCAAGCCTGTAATCCCAGCACTTTGGGAGGCCGAGGCGGGTGGATCACGAGGTCGAGAGATCAAGACCATCCTGGTCAACATGGTGAAACCCCGTCTCTACTAAAAATACAAAAAGTTAGCTGGGCATGGTGGCGCGTGCCTGTAATCCCAGCTACTCAGGAGGCTGAGGCAGGAGAATTGCCTGAACCCAGGAGGCAGAGGTTGCGGTGAGCCGAGATCGCGCCATTGCACTCCAGCCTGGGTAACAAGAGCGAAACTCCATCTCAAAAAAAAAAAAAAAAAAAAAAAAAAAAAATCCTCTGTATATGTTATTGGGTTAAGTTTGCTAAAATATTCCAAATTTTTCTTTCATCAATGATTATGGAAGGATATCTGGTGACGGTTTTTCTTTGATTTGTTGTTTGGCTTTGTTATCAGGGTAAGGGTAGTAATAGAATGGTTTGAAAAGTAGCATCATTTTTTCATTTTCTCAAAGCATTTGTGTATAATTTGTATTATTTATTCCTTCAATGTTTTGTAAAGTTCACAAGAGATGCCCTAGTTCTCAGGCTTTCTTTGTAGGAAGGATTTTTAAACTACAGGTTCAATTTCTTTAATAAGCATAGGGATATTTAGATTATTTATTTTATAATAAACTTGGTTAGTTTGTGTACTTCAAGGAATATGTCTATCTCATCTATGTTATTAAAATTAGCCTGTAAAGTGTTCATACTATTCCTTTGTTATTATTTTTTTCTTTATTGTACTTTAGGTTCTGGGGTACATGTGCAGATCATGCAGGATTATTGCATAGGTACATGCATGGCAAGGTGGTTTGCTGCCTCCATCCTCCTGTCACCTACATTATTTCTCCCCATGTAAACCCTTCACAACCTTCCCACCCCCAATGTCCCTCCCCTTGTCCCCACCCCCCAACAGACCCCAGTGTGTGATGTTCGCCTCCCTATGTCCATGTAGTCTCATTATGCAACTCCCACTTATAACTGAGAACATGCGGGGTTTGGTGTTCTGTTTGCTGAGAATGATGGTTTGCAGATTCATCCATGTCCCTACAAAGGACATAAACTAATCTTTTTTATGGCTGCATAGTATTCCATGGTGTATATGTGCCACATTTTCTTTGTTGAGTCTATCATTGATGGGCATTTGGGTAGGTTTCAGGTCTTTGCTATTGTAAACAGTGCCACAGTGAACATATGTGTGCATGTGTCTTTATAATAGAATGATTTATAATCCTTTGGGTATATATCCAGTAATGGGATTGCTGGGTCAAAGGGAATTTCTATTTCGAGATCCTTGAGGAATCGCCACATTGTCTTCTACAATGGTTGCACTAATTTTCACTCCCACCAACAGTGTAAAAGTGTTTCTATTTCTCCACATCCTCTCCAGCATCTGTTGTGTCCAGATTTTTTAATGGTCGCCATTCTAACTGACATGAGATGGTATCTCAATGTGGTTTTGATTTGCATTTCTCTAATGACCAGTGATGATGAGCATTTTTTCATATGTTTGTTGGCCTCATATATGTCTTCTTTTGAAAAGTGTCTGTTCATCTCCTTCACCCACTTTTGAATAGTTTTGTCTTTTTCTTGTAAATCTGTTTTAGTTTTTTGTAGATTCTGGGTGTTAGTCCTTTGTTGGATGGGTAGATTGGAATTTTTTTTCCCCATTCCGTTAATTGCCAGTTCACTCTAATGATAGTTTCTTTTGCTGTACAGAAGCTCTGATGTTTAATTGGATCTGATTTTTCTACTTTGGCTTTTGTTGCCATTGTTTTTGGTGTTTTAGTTATGAAGCCCTTGCCTATGCCTATGTCCTGAATGGTATTGCCTAGGTTTTCTTCTAGGGTTTTAGTGGTGTTATGTCTTATGTTTAAATCTTTAATCCATCTGGAGTTCATTTTAGTGTAAGGTGTCAGGAAGGGGTCCAGTTTCTGCTTTCTGCACATTTCCCAAAATCATTTATTAAACAGGGAATCCTTTCCCCATTGCTTGTTTTTGTCAGGTTTGTCGAAGATCAGATGGTTGTAGATGTTTGGCATTGCTTCTGAGGCCTCTGTTCTGTTCCATTGGTCTATATCTCTGTTTTGGTACTAGTACCATGCTGTTTTGATTACCATATCCTTGTAGTAGAATTTGAAGTCAGGTAGTACAATGTCTCCAGCTTTGTTCCTTTTGCTTAGGATTATCTTGGCTGTGCAGGCTCTCTTTTGGTTGTATGTGAAGTTTAAAGTGCTTTTTCCAGTTCTGTGAAGAAGGTCATTGGTAGCCTGATGGGGATTGCATTGAATCTATAAGTTACTTTGGGCCACATGGCCATTTTCATGATATTGATTCTTTGTAACCATGAGCATGGAATGTTTTTCCATCTGTTTGTGTCCTCTCTTATTTCCTTGAGAAGTGGTTTGTTGTTCTCCTCGAAGAGGTCCTTTACATGCTTTGTTGGTTGTGTTCCTAGGTATTTTATTCTCTTTGTAGTAATTGTGAATGTGAGTTCGCTCATGATTTGGCTCTCTGTTTGTCTGTTATTGGTGTGTGGAAATGCTTCTGATTTTTGCACATTGGTTTTGTATCCTGAGACTTTGCTAAAGTTGCTTATCTTAAGGAGATTTTGGGCTGAGATAATGGGGTCTTCTAAAAATACAATCATGTTGTCTGCAAATAGAGACAATTTGGCTTCCTCTTTTCCTAACTGAATACCCTTTGTTTCTTTTTCTTGTCTGATTGCTCTGGCCAGAACTTCCAATACTATGTTGAATAGGTGTGGTAAGAGAGGACACTCTTGTCTGGTGCCAGTTTTCAAAGGGAATGCTTCCAGATTTTGCTAATTCAGTATGATATTGGTTGTGGGTTTGTCATAAATAGCTTTTATTATTTTGAGATATGTTCCATCGATACCTAGTTTATTAAACTCCACAGCTTCTGCACAGCAAAAGAAACAGTCAGTAGAGTGAATCGGCAACCAACAGAATGGGAAAAAATTTTTGCAGTCTACCCATCTGACAAGGGGCTGATATCCAGAATTTACAAAGAACTAAAGCAGATCTACAAGAAAAAAACAAACAAGCCCATTCAAAAATGGGCAAAGGATATGAACAGATACTTTACAAAAGAAGACATACGGGAGGCCAACAAACATATGAAAAAATGCTCATCATCACTGGTCATCAGAGAAATGCAAATCAAAACCACATTGAGATACCATCTCACACCAGTTAGAATGGCGATCATTAAAAAATCGGGAAACAACAGATGCTGGAGAGGATGTGGAGAAATAGGAACACTTTTACACTGTTGGTAGGAATGTAAATTAATTCAACCATTGTGGAAGACAGT